ACCCATCTTCCTAGCACTCAGGAGGCTGAGGCAGGAGGATCTCTATGAGTTCCAGGCCAGCCTGGGCTACATAGTGAGTTCAAGGCCAGGCCGGACTACATAATGAGACCCTGTCTCAAAAAGTAAAATTTCCTTTCCACTGCCTGCTGCAGAAGCGCGAGGACCAGAGTTCGATCCCTAGTACCAAAAAATAAATAAATAATAACATTTCCTTTTTCTCCTATAAGACAATCAAAGTCTTCCCATTTTCTCATTGTGTTGTCTTTTCATGGGTTGCTGTTCTTTCTGCAGACCATCTTCCTTCTAAACAAGGAATATTTTAGTCTCTCAAAGGTACCTTTTGAAGAACAGCTGTTCTTTTTTTTGGTACTGGGGATCAAACTTGGGTCCTTGCACTTTCATGGCAGGCAGTGGAGCCACTGAGCTAAATCCCTGGTCCAGCTGTTCTTTTTTTTGTTTGTTTGGTTGGTTGAGACAGGGTCTTGATAACACAGGGGCCTTGAACTCACTATGTAGCCCAGGGTGGCTTGAACTCATGGCAATCCTCCTGCCTCAGCCTCCTGAGTGCTGGGCTTACAGGGGTGTGCCCCCACACCTATCTATAGATGTCTAGTGTTGATGTAGTAGAATATCGCCTCAATTTTAGCAGTACTGAGACTTTGTGCTGGAGCTGGATAATTCTTTGGGGTGCAGGGTGGGGGGCTGTGCATCGTGGGGTGGCTGGGAGCAGCCTGGTCTCCGCTCCCTAGGTCCTCTGCCCAAGGTGTGACATCTGCAGACGCTGCTAAATGTCCCTTGCCAGGGGCACAGAATCGCCCCTGTTGAGCATCAGTGCATTCATGTTTTTTGCCTCTTGTCTGAGAAACCCTTCCCTGCTCTGTGGTGATGAAAATCGTCTTTTATTACCTTCTAAAAGCTTGTAGCTTTGCCTTCCCCATTTGGGTCTCCGAGTCCCCTGGACCGAACGGCGGAGCGCAACGCCCCAGCTTTATTTCCGGACGGAGACTGGTGACTGTGGGCAGCTGTGCACCCTCCCTTCTCTCGCCCTGCGTTGTGCCACCCCTCTGTGCCACGCCGAGTGTCCACGTGGCTAGCTCTGTCTGGGCCCTCCCCTGTCCTCACTGTTCGTGTGTCCTGTTCCAGCATCACACTCCTCACTCATCACCTCCTCTCAAAGAAGCCAATCTGGAGCTGGGCATTTAGCTCAGTGGTTTCACTGACTGTTGCCCAAGCACAAAGACCCAAGTTCGATCCATGGTACCAACAAAACAAAAGTCTGAATCTTCTCTTGTCTTTGCCGTTCCTGGGACTTGTGTGAATCCTTCTGCCTCAGCCTCCCGAGTGCTGCTGGGATTACAGGCTTGGGCCATTGCGCCAGATTAGCAACAGATTTTGTTTCCACAAACTTAAGAGGCTTTTTCTAAACTGTAATGAAAGGCTGGGCATTTAGCTCAGTGGTTTCACTGCCTGCTGCGCAAGCGCAAGGACCCAAGTTCAATCCCTGGTACTAAATAAATAAATAAAATGTAATGAAAATACAAAAAGCTAGGGATGGTATCACAAGTGTAATAGTTATAGTAGATGTTCGGATCATTCCTGTATCTGAAGTTTTGTAGGTCTCATTCCACTGTGTCTGTTTCTCTTGCTCATGGTGGAAATGTCTGTGGGTTTTGTCATTTTTTTCATTTTCTACTGACAGCCTATATATATACATATACATATATATATATGTATATGTATATATATACACATATATGTTTCTTTTTCCTTTTTGAGACAGAGTATGCTATGTAGCTTGCTATGTAGCTCAGGCTGGCCTTGAACTCACAGTATCCTCCTGCCTCAGCCTCCCAAGCACTGGGATTACAAGATGGTGTCAGCACCCCGGCTCTGAGTTTATATTTCTTTCCTTTTCTTTTTTTTGGTACCAGGGATCGAACTCTGGTCCTTGCGCTTGCAAGGCAGGTGGCGGAACCACTTAGCTAAATCCCTGGCCCTGAGTTCATATTCTTAAAAGCTTATCTATGTAATTTTTGGGGGGGGAGCTGGGACTTAAACCCAGCTCTTGTGCGTAGCAGGCAGGCACTTGACCACTGAGCTGCAACCCCAGCCCTTGTGGGAATTTTTTATTTTGGTGCTACTGAGGATTGAACCCAGGGCCTTTGTGCTGAGCTACACTCATTCCACCTTCTTCCTTCTTTCCCTCCTTCCTTCCTTCCCTCCTACTTTTGAGACAGAGTCTCATTAAGTAACTACATTGCCCAGGCTGGGCTCAAACTTGCAATCCTCCTGGCTCAGCCTCCTGAGTGCTGGGATTACAGGAATGAGCCACTGCACCAGGCTCCCTGTGGGAATATTTTGAGGCCTAAAACAGAAGTGTGTTCCTCTCCTGGGGACTGAGTTGCTTCTTCCAGAGCTTGAAGCACTCGCGACTCCTTTAAGTGAACCTCTCTTCGGGCGGCTCTCCGAGATGTCGGAAGAGCTGGAGTTAGGGCGCTCGCTTCTGTGGGGCCAGCCTCGGTTACGGACTTCTAGAGTCGATTTTTCTTTTTCTCACTCTGTTATGGGTCCAAGAGGCCAGGTCCTGCGGGCGGGCGGGGCATCCGGTTGGTTTCTAGCTAAACCTAACAGCTCGCCCGTAGGCAGGGGTGTTTGACCGGAAGTCCTACCCCGGCCCCGCCCATGGTCTAGAAAAATCGCAGGCCGGTTTGCGCAGGCTCCCAGCCCTTCCCACATGGCTTTCTGGTACTCTTGCCTTCCACCTTTAAGGGTGACACGCACAGATGAAGGATCATGGAACGCAGGCTTTTCTTCTCCCCACACTGGGGCTTGAACCGGGGGCCTCTCGCCCACTAGGGCGGCGCCCTGCCCCTGTGCCACAGCTCAGCCCCACATGCTAGGTGGAAAATAAGATTTCAAGGGCAGCTGGGGTGTGTGCTGCTCGTGCAGTTTTGCAATTCTTTTTTTTTGGCTGTTTGTTTTCTCTTATGGTTTAAACTTCAATTTTGAAAGACTTCTAAATAGTCCTGTTATTTATTTTCCTTGCTAATATTCGTGGTAAACAGAACAGTCTTGAGTTTGTCCCAGGAACTTTTTTTTTTTTTTTACTGGGGATCGAACTCGGGTCCTTGCACTTGCGCAGCAGGCAGCGAAATCACTGAGTTAAATCCCTGGCCTTGTCCCAGGAACATTTTAAGGGCGGCGCAAGCACCTTGGATCCCCTCCACTCTCAGCCTGTGCTGTGCAGCACGAAGCGGACACTGCGAACAACGACCCCAGGTTCCCCATGCTGGGCTTGGTTTCCGTGAATGCGCTGATCACTGCAGCAGGAGAGCATACAGCCCGTGCTGCACCCCACGGCTGAAAGGGCCTTTGTCTCCTTTGGTTTTCTTTGCTTCCCAAGGCAGGGGAAGCCGTTCCTCCTCCCCAGAGCAAGCAAACGCAAGCTCACAGGGTCTCAATCTCAGAGGCTGAGACCCCCACGATGGCTTCTTACCCCTTACCTCTGCTTCTAACCTCCTTCTTACTCATTTTTCATTTGTTTCCTGTTGGTACAGGGTCTCCCTATGTAGCCCAGGCTGACCTTGAACTTGAGGCGATCCTCCTGCCTCAGCCTCCTGTGTGCTGGGTTAGACAAGCCTGTGCCAACACGTCCCGCTAATTTGTACATTTTTGCCACAGAATCAGAAAGCCAGCTCATGCAGGTCCTCAGCTTCCGAACCATGGCCTGCAAGGATGGAGGTCATGGTGTCTGTCCTTAGCCTGAGGTGACAGGAAGATGCATCCTGTCATAAGCAAGTGACAAAGATCCTTCCAAAAGCCTTGAGCGCTTGGCAAGTGCTGCCTGGTTCCAAGCACCAAGGACCCGGGTCCGGGATTGTCTGCCCCTCCCCAGCCAGTGACCTCGGTTTCACGGGGACAGTGTAGCCCTAGGGGCCTAGAGAGTCCTGGGCGATCCCGAGCACCGAGATCCGAGCATCCCCTACAGGGAATGTCACCCATCGGGGCCAAGGCCGCATGCTTTGTCTGGGTTACTGTGCGAGCCTGTCCACAGGGAGCCTGTTACCAGCCTGGGGTCGGGTCCAGGTTCTTGACATCCTAACCAAAGAATAGGGCAGGACTCCAAGACCTGCACCAGACAGATGATTTCTTTGAAAGAGAAAAGCGGAGATCCCCTGCGCAGAGAAGAGCTCACGCCCCGAGGGGCTCAGTGCTGAGGGTTCTAAACCTCAGGGTTTGGGGTGGGATTGAGGCTTGAGTGAGTCCCCTCTGTCACGTGATGGAGTTTTTGACTTTATATGGCCCTTGGAGAACTGTCATGGTGCCCAAGACCCACAGGGGTCAAATCTGCATATTCAATGACATGCTAGTTAGGGCTGGGGTCACCAAGGGGTGCGGAAGAGCACGGCCCACGCCCAGGCCCTAACTTGCTAGTTACCTGGTGATGTCTTCTCATTGTGTCACCCTGGGCACCCTGGTTCTGGGCTAATATTTCACTCGGAAGGCAAATCAAGTCCCAGAAAGATGCCCTCCTTTTTCCCCAGCTGTTTCCTTGGTTACCTAATGCCTCCAATTGACCCCAGAAAATGGGCTCCCAGCCCGGTGGGCCCCCTTCTTCCTCCAGCCTCTACTCTGGCTCCCCCGAGTCCCGTCTCCAACCTGGTTTGTCTACACCACCCATCCAGGGCCGGAAACAGGCCGCGTCACCCACCCCTCGGGCCAAAGCGCCCATCTTCTGCCTCCGTGTGGCTCAGCCCCTTCTCCTCCAGGCCGCCTGCCTCTCTCACCACTTCCTCTTTATTGGGCCAACGCTGTGTTTATTTAGAAATTGGCTTGTTTGCAGCCTGAAATTTGGCATCATTGATTTTGGCTATGAGGAGTTCAGATTTTTCCTCTCTCTGCTTTGGTTTGCTAAACCCTGTTTTGTGAGCAAAAAACACCAAGTAGTAAAAACACAGTGAGGCTGCTGAAGTTGTGTGAATGTGAAGCATCCAGGAAAGTGACGGCATGGGCCTGTGCTCATTTATTTAATTTCTCTAGAGAGTGGATTAGACACGCACGAGGCTGCCCTCCAGGACCTCCACACCCGACCCGAGCAAACAGCAGGCACTGCCCTTGGGGGGGCCCTCTGCCTGGAAAAACCCAGGCCGGTGGTGTCCAGAAGCCTTTTGGTGACACAGATTTACTTTTTTTTTTTTTTTTTGGTACCGGGGATCAAACTTGGGACCTTGCGCTTGCAAGCCAGGCGCCGGAACCACTGAGCTAAATCCCTGGCCCCCTCACAGATTTACTTCTTTATGCTGTAAATAAACAGGTTGCCTGCTGCTGAACAGTTCCACTCCCGGGGTGGCCACAATGTTCTGGCGATCAACGAGGCTTGCCCGGACCAGGCCCAGCACATCTCAAACTTTCTTTTCTTTTTTTCCCCCCTTTTATTGGTTTTTCTGGGTCAGGGTCTTGCTATATATATAGCCCAGGCTGGCCTCAAACTCTCAGAGATCTTTCTGCCTCAGCCTCCCAAATACTGGGATTACAGGTACACACCACCACACCCGGCTCCCAGTTTTTCTCTACCTGTGCTGGTTGGCAGAGGCCTCCTGGCATCCCTGCCCCTTTCTCCCGGAATCCTGAAGGTCGGCCAGCCTAACTGGGGAGAAGCGGGCTGGAGTTCGGGAGGAACTTCTGCCCTGGCCAAGTAGACACACAGTGCCCACAGGTGCTGTGCTGGGCGGGCGTGAGAGCACAAAGCTGGGACATCTGGGGGCTAGGTCACACGGTGTTCAGTCCTGGTGCTCAAACCTAGGGCACTCGACCACCGAGTGACATTCCCAGCTCCCCCTTTCAAAATGTTTTGAGATAAGATCTCACTAAATTTCCCTGGTGGGATTAGAACTTGCCATCTTCCTGCCTCAGCCTCACTCAGTGCTGGGATGACAGCGCGGGTCCCTTGCGTGAGAACCAATACACACCTTTCCGTCTTGTGCAAATTCTGAACAGGCCCCCGGCCCAGCTCTGTCTCCTGTGGTGTGGAAGACCGCAGGGCCCAGCGTGTGTCTGACGGTGTGTCGGTCACCAGGGGCCTCACCGCAGACTCCGTGACGTCCACGGGCCCGAGACTGCGTGGAGACTGACTCAGTGTTTCTTTGAGGCTGACACTTTTCACCCGAATGAGCCCAAGCTCTCCATTTTCATTCCACTGCGCTTCAGAGGCAGCCTGGCTCCTCCCTGGGACAGGACTCCCGGAAAACTCCCAGGCTCCCAGCCCACAGCACTGCCTGCAGTAGCTTTCCAGGTCAAGGTTTGGCAGAGAAAGTCCCCGCTGCCTCGGTCCCTGATGTCCCCAGCGAGTGGGGTGGGGGTGTCATGGAGCCCCCCCATTTGTCTTCAGAGGAGGAAAAGTCTGCCTCAGGAGGTGCCAGGCACCAGCACGTCCCCTGGAAGGGAGCGACAAGGCCAGCGGGCTTCAGAGGACCAGCTTTGGAGTCTGTGGGCCTGGGGACCCCCAGCCCAGGCTTTAGTTAGAGGGCTCTGGGTGGGAGGTCCAGGAAAGGCCAATGGGAGGGAGATCAGGCTGCTTTCTGCCCCTCCTTAGTGGGGACTGTGGACTCAGCTATAGCTCCAGCATCGAAGCCACGTTCCTTGTCCCTTTCTCCTGGCCACAGCGGAGCTCGAAGGAAGCTGGGAAAAGTCGCTTCTCTCCCTCTTTGCCGTCCCAGGCTTCACGCCAGGCCCTCAGCACTGCTCAGCCTCCACGAAGCCCTCCTTCTCACGGTCTGAGGGCTCCACCTCGGTGTAGCTGGCGTGGTTGGGGTGGTTGCGGAACTTCACGGCTGGCCAGCGGTGGGGTCTCCGCTATGGCGACACAGGGGCAAAGTCACCAGGGCTGACCTCTCTGTGGGCCCCATCCCTGAGAGATGTGGGGCACCTACACTTTCTTTCCCACTGGCATCCAGGTGACAGGGTCACAGAAGAGGACCTGTTATCCCTTGCTACTGGCCCACAGAACTCAGCAACCCAGAGTGGACACCCAAGGCCATGGCACGCCACGGTGTCAGGATGTGGGGGGCTGGCAGTGCCACGATCACCACCTCCAGGTGGCACAGTCCTGCATCAGACAGCCAGGAGATGCACTGAAATGCAGCCTCTGGGGTCTACCTCAGACGCCCCCACCAGAGACCCTGTGGCCGGTGCGGGGGGCCGAAGTTCCCAGGTGACATCCAGGTAGCTGAGGATCCTGACTGGCTGGGATGCATGGGAAATTGGTCATTTTTTTTAAAATAGAGGGAGCCCCCCAGGCCTGCACGTAATGAGGTCAGCGGGCTTGACCTGTGTGGCCACTGCAGTGTCCCTCTGAGGACCTCTGAGGGGAACTTCTAGGAAGAAACAGAACGGAGGATCCCTCTGCTGTGCCACATGACTGCTCTGGACTGTGAGCCCCTGGAGGGCGGAGGTAAGATCTTATTCATGTTTATATCTTCAGCTTTTAGGGAAAAAGCTGGATCATTGTGTGCACTCAACAGAATTTTTTTTTTCCTTTTTGTTTTTTGAGACAGGGTCTCACTGTGGAGTCTAGGCTGGCCTCAAACTGTGGCAATTCTCCTGCCTCAGCCTTCTGATTGCTGGGATTACAGGTGTGTAATCCACGCTCAGCTCCTCTCAGCTGAATTTTATTTTTTATTTTATTTTTTTGGTATCACGGATTGAATTCAGGACCTTGCACTTGCGAGGCAGGCAGTGGAACCACTGAGCTAAACCCCCGGCTCATTCAGATGAATTCTACAGACTGAACTAGGTCCACTGGAAGCTAAGGAGCCCGCCGGAAGTGGAGGGCTGGGTGGGAGCTGCTGGGCTCCAGGGCGCTGAGCCTGATTTCCCAGGCTGCACCTCAGCTGGCCCTAGGGATCCTGGGGTGTTCCAAATGGCAGCCTCCTCCACTCAGCCCCCCACCTCAGCACAGAGCCCTCTTGTCCTTTGTCATCTAAGACCCACAGAAGCAGCAGAAGAGGTTGGCTCCACTGTGGCTCTGAATAACCCTGAGCCTGCAATTTGGGCACAAGAGACCATAAATCACTAGGGAAAGGCTGCCCAGCCACGAAGCGGGCACTTGATGGCATTTTTGGCCTTCTTTAGTTCCTCTTGGGACTTCCTGATTTCACAAACAGGGGATGGAAGCTGACAGGTACGCCCCAGGGATAAGGGGGCAGATGCGCCAAGTGAGACCCCGAGGGCCTGGCCGCTGCAGGATGGGCAGGTACTGGGCAGGATCGGGGGAGAGGGGCCCATCCTTGCTGACCTCCATGAGGAAGAGCGCAGCGCTGGAGTTGGCGTGCCCGCTGATATAAATCCCGCCCAGGATGGCTGCCGCCACCAGCAGGATGGCCAGCACGATGCCCACGATGGTGCCCAGGTGCACGGGGCGGCCCTGGGAGTCCGGGGACAGGTTGTGCTGAAGGCCTGTGGAGAGACCGAGAGGGCAGGCAGGGGCTGCAGACCCAGGTGCTGACCCAGACCCAGAGCCTGTGCCCACGGGACCTCCCAGGTTTGGGCAGCATCTGGTAGGGGTCACTGTCCTCGGCCCGAGGCTGTGCTCAAATCACCCCACCGGTGCACAGAAGTCTAATGAGGACCCCAGAGCTGCACAAGCCCGGAAGGAATTCACACAGGGCTGTGGCGGTTGGGACCTAGGAGCTGGCTGGGTTCAGATCCACACTGTGTGACCTCGGACATGAGACGTAACCTCCCAGGGTCACCGTGGTCACCTCTGAAAAATGAGGGCGACAGTAAGCACGACCTTGTGAGGTGGCTGCCAGGTCAAATGAGGAAGGCCTCAGAGAGCGAGAGCTGCAAGGATGGCAGTGCAGGTTGCCAGGCGCTGCAGTGAGGCCGCATCTTACCCCTGAGGCCTCGGCTCTTAGGCAGAGGTGGGCCCGCCACGGAATGAGCTGCCGGGCTGGTGGCCGAGTCCCAGGGAGGACGGGGGTGTCTTCCATGGACTCAGAGCTGGAGCTGGTGGGGGAGGGCCCTCCTGGTCACCCCCGAGGCCAGGGAGAACTGCCTGCCGTCTGGTTCTCTCTACCACCTGGCAGCGAACCCGGTGTGGAGACCTGGCCTCCCTCTCGGACCTCCAGGACCCTGGGGAACATGCCGTGGCCACAGGTCCCCTGCCACCTGCCCTGGCTCGGCCCTGCCCTCCTGCTCCCCATTTCTGCACAGAGTGTGTTCCCGCCCATGTAGACAGATTCCTGACACCTGGAGGCCCAGGGTCACCCACTGCTCATCCAGCAGGAGGCTCAGGACAGGCAGGCAGCTGTGTCCCCCGTATCCCCAGAGGTGCAGGGGGGTCTGATGAGGAGGCGCAGGAGCCCTGTGCTCACCGTCTCCTCCTGCAGAGGAGTTCAGCTTGGTGTCATCTGCAGAGAGGACAGAAGGAGAAAAGGTGGTGGGCTTTGTCCCCCTGGGTTGGGTGGGACTTCAGGGAGGGTTGAGGTACATTTGAGGTGCACAGAAAGTGCAGCCCAGAGAGGGCTGGGGCCAGGGGCCAGGGGCCAGAAGGAACCTGGCAGCTGGGTGTCGCTGGAGGGCGGAGGGCAGGGCGGAGGGGATGCACCCAGCTCCCAGGGGGAATGGACGGCCGGTGAAGATCGGGAGGGGCGGTGACTGGCCGGACGGGGCTATGGTTTCCCTGTCTCTGTCCCCTTCCAGCCACTCTGCCCCCCAGCTCATGCTGGGCGGGGAGGTGAGCAGTCTGTCCCAGCCCTCCTTCTTCCTCTCATCTGCTGCAGCTCAGCTGTGGGGAAGCAGCTGGAAGGCACTGCTCCAGGCTCTCCGGGCTGCTGAGGCCCTGCACATGCTGTTCCCCACGGGGACGCCCTTCCAGCCCTCGCCATTCCACCTTCAAACTCTGTGGGGCTGGGCTTAGGCCCCTCTCCTGTCTTTATTTAAAATGTCAATATTTATTTTGTGTGACAGAATTTTTAGCTTTAATTTTGATTTTTACAAAAATTGTATTAAATATTATCGTGATTATTGGGGTTTTGAGCCTCCTTCAGATTTTCACCCAAGAGCCTCACCCGCCTGGGCCTGTCCTGGTGCTGTCACCTCCCAGGGACGGTGGATTGGTCCATGGGCCCTGGCGCTACCTCTGCAGCACCCAGGCCCCGTCACTCCCCAGTTCCCTATGCCCACCCCGTGTCCTCCCTACACCTGGCAGGGCAGCCTGCATGGGGCACAATTCCTACAAACCTTAAAATATCAACAAATAGAATAAACTCTGAGAAAAGCTTAAAATGTTCCCTATAAGCCAGTCCAGGTGGTGCACACCTGTATCTCAGCACTCCTAGGAGCCGAGGCAGGAGGATCCCAAGTTTGAGCCCAGCCTGAGCAACTTAGTGAGACGCTGTCTCCAAATAAAATAAAAAGGGCTGGGATGTAGCTCAGAGTGAAGGCCGGGGGCGGGGGACTGTGGAGTTTCCTCTAAGTGCAAGGTCACCTGCAACTCGGTTATTAACTCCCAAGCCAGGGCCAAGTTTCTTTCTGCTTCAACTCCATCAATCCACAGAGCCGCACCACGGACCCTGCTAGCAGCACCTGGGTCTTAACCTTAATGGCTCCTCGCTGTCCCCAGGCCCCTCCCAGCCCCTCACCAGCCAGATCTGCCCTGGGTCCTCTGGGTCCAGAATCTGCACAGACCCAGGGCCGTTCCTTCCAGCACAGGGCAAGGCAGTGGGTGAAGGTGAAGGACACCTTTGGGAGCCAGGTGAGATGCGACTCCATCTCTTCCTGGCTCATCGTCCCCTCTCTGAGCCTTAATGTTTTCTCTATAAAATGGGGATATGCAGGGGCTAATACAAATACAGGGCTGGGTGTGGTGGTGCAGGCCTGTAACTGGGAGGCTGAGGCAGGAGGGTCACCAAGAGCTCCCCTTGCCCTCCTCTTTTCTCCTTCCCATCATTTCCTTTGAGCAGGCGTCTGGGTCCGCAGGGGCTGCAGAGAACCAGCGCACTGCCTTCTGTCTTCACCTAAGGGGAAAGGGCTTGCAGATCCAGGCGCGATGTACCGGAAAAGGCTGAGGACTTTCTGCATTTGGCATCGGCCAAGACCCTGGGCTCAAGTGGCACAGAAGCCTTGGGGACCGAGAACAGCACGGCCGCACAGGGAGCCAATGCCACGGGGGCCTGAGAGTTGGGGTCAGGGTAGAGGAGCCCATGTCTGAGTGTGGCCTGGGTTAAAGAAGCCCCCACAGGTCCCATGAGGGTCACCGTTCAGCTCAACCAAGATGCCATAAAATGCCTGGCACCCAAGGGACATCAATTTCCCCCCAGAGCCTGCCATGGGCAGCACCAGGGTCAGAGCCACGGGACGTCCATGCTTCCTGACAGCCCTGAGTCTCACAGCAGCAAGCTAAGTCCCAGTGCCCGGCTTTACCTTCCATGGTGAAGCTGTCAACCACGAGGGAGGAGGCGGTGGTGGTGACTGTGATGTCCCCGTCCAGGGCACTTCTGGAGCTGTTGGGGGAGGCAGAGTACGGGTCCTCCTCCTGGAAGTCCTCACACGTCCTGCCCTCCGCCTGCAAGAGACCTCGGTGCTGCTGGGCCTCAAGTGAATTTTAACCTCCCACTGAGTCCCAGCTACTCAGGAGGCTGAGGCAGGAGGGCCCTGAACCCAGGAGTTTGAAGCCAGCCTGGGCAACACAGCAAGATCATGTCTCAAAAAATAAACAACTCAACCTTCTACCTTGTTCCGTAAGAGTCTTGTACTACAGGGCAACCTGTCAGCTGCTTCAAACCCTCCCTCGAGGAAGGATTAATCAATCAGGTACCAGCCCCCAGCTTTTGAGATCATGTTAAACAACATCAAAGAATCAAAGTCTGAGTGTTCTGGGAAAGTCTAGCCATGAGAAGGAACCTGCAGGGGGTTCTGAACAGGAGGTGCTGGGACACCCTCCACAGCCCAGAATGACTGCTACCCCGAAAAGCTGGAGGACTGGTGCCTGGTGGGTACTTCAGGCACATCACTGCATCCACGGCCTCCTGAGGACCCAACTGTGGCTAAGGCCATGCCCAGGATGCCCTCTGCAGGGACCAGAGGAGCTCCTGGGGGCTATCTGCTCATGGCCAAGTCCTGGAAGTGCTCACGGCTGGGGCTCACAAGTCCCTCTAGAACCTTCTAGAACTGTCCACAGTGGTCTAATGGGCTCAGAGCAGACGGAACACAAATCATACGTGGAGGGGAGAAGACAACAAGGGTTAAAGACACCCGGAGGGCCAGGCATGGTGGCACACACCTGTAATTCCAGCACTGGGAAGGCTGAGGCAGGAGGATTGCCTTGAGTTTGAGGCCAGCCTGAACTACAGGGCAAGACGCTGTCTCAAAAAAAAAAAGGCACTGGGAGAAGAGCCACAGATCACCCAAGCCACTCACCTCCTGGGCGCAGCCATAGGCCAGCCATTCCTGGCGGTAGCGGTCGAAGCCACTGGAGCACCTGCAGGGGGACAGAGAGGTCAGAGAGAAGGCCCCTTTCACAACTCCCAATTCAGTGGCTGCACGCTGGGGTGGTCAGGATCCCAAGGCCACCGGGCAGTGCCCTGGGCACCAGGCAGCCATGGGACCTGCAGCTGGAGCCTCCTGCTCCTCTGCCCCTTCCCTGCAGGGTGGCGAAGGTGCCTGTGGAGTCCCCACCCTGCTGACCCGGCTGCCCGGAACAAGGCCACATCAGCCCGGATGCGTGGTGGGCTACATGAGCTCCAGTGACCTTAAAGGTCCCTTTCACCTGTGGTGCCGCGGCACTGCTGACCACATGGGAAAGCTGTGCCCACTTCCTCCTCTGAGAAACGCCCGCCACACACAGGGCTCCCCGCCTGCCCCTGGGGCGCGAGGCTGGCAGGGGCAAGCACGGCAGATGGAGCCAGTACTTCCTGTGTGATCTTTAAAGGTCAGGGGAGGGTCCTGCGGAGGCCGAGGGAGACCAAGGCCGGAGAGATTAAGACCCCAAGTGCCTCCCCAGGGAAAGGGCGGAGGCAGAGGATGAGCCACGGCCTCCCACACACATTTCCGCTCTTCTCCCTTCAGCACCAGGGGAAGCCACTGAGCCCTACTCCAGCTCAGGGACATCTGCATGGAAAGAACAACATCCAGAGCTGCCAGAGCAATTCTCACCCACCATCCGCCCAAGACCCAGGGACGCCAAGGGCGAGGCCCCCGCAGGCTCCAAGCTGGATGGGGCCTTCTCTCAGGTCCCCTGTGCCTGCCACTGTGGGGATGGAGGCCGGGGGGCTGAGGAGGCTGGGGACTCGTTTCTTTTAGATCAGACTGACTTCTCAGAAACTGCGTACAGTACAGGCCTACGGGTGTCAGGTTCTAAGCTCTGAGCAATCCACCCAGATTCAAAGACTGGCGGGAGAAAGCATGGTGTACTGGGGACCTCCAGGATGCCCAGCATTGCCCAGCCATGAGCGGTGCCCACAGCATCTTGTGGGACCCTCACAGTGATGCCACAGGGGAGGATTATGGCCATCGGCAGCTGATTCCAGCGTGGACCATGGTGGGGGTGCAGGATGATGGGAAGACTCCTGCCAGGGAAGTGACACTGTCTGCACCAGACCTGGCCCAGAGCAGGGAGGGAGCCCCAGGAGGCTATGGGGGGCACAGCAGGAGGAGAGGCAGGGAGAAGAGACTCCCAGGTGCCCCATGGCACCAGCAATGCCCCCTGGCTTTTCGGGCACCTGGGTCAGGGGACAGGATGTTCCCAGCCTGTCAGTCTCGCACCCTCCAATGGCATCGCCTGCCACAGTGATGGAACCCCAGCAGGGCAAGGTCCACACCGGAAGTCCCCCCTTTCCCTGCCTCTTGATGTCACATCCCTCCCTGACACTCCTATCATGAAACCATGGTGCTCAGCCCTGCAAGGGCTCAAGGCGGAGCACGGAGTCGACTCCCAGGGGTGGGGCCCCGGGATCCCAGTCAGAGGGCTGGGCTGGGGTGCCCTCAGGATCCCAAGGCCTTGAATCCTGAAGGAGACTCTGAGCACTAGGGTTTCCCACTCCTGCAAGAGCCCTCATCCCCAGGAAGCCCTGTCCCCTCCTGTCAGCCATTCCTCTTGGACAGGAGAACGGAGCTGAACTGTGTGTGCAGTCTGGGATGGAAGGGCTTCTCAGGAAGGGGTGGACCGTGAGTCAGCCTTAGGGACTTTATCCCAAAGCTGGCTCCCCCAGGAAACTGTTTCCAAAACCAAGTACTGGCCTCCTCCTTCCAACAGCACTAAGTCTCCATGGAGGCCTCCGTGTCCAGGCCCTGGCTTTTAGGAATCTCCAGCTGCCTGAGAAAGCCCTCAAGGCTACACCCTGGGCTCGTGGGGCTCTACTCCGTGGTTCACAGCTGTCTCTGAGCTGGCGGTTCTCGCAGTTGTTGCAAAGGAGGCTCCAGGCCGAAATGCAGGTTCCCCGGTTCTCTCCTGGGTTCCCAGTGCAGAGGGCAGAGGAATCTGAATGTCAGGTGGGAACCCTGGGGGCTGCGGGGTCCACTCAGGGCTCAGTGTGGAGCAGGCACAAACCTCTGCAGGACGTGGCACCAGGTGCAGTTGAAGGTCAGGTCGGAGGAGACACAGGTGTCGCAGCTCCGGAGCTGCAGGCAGGCTGGGGTCGGGCAGGGGTTAGAGACAGACACAGGGACGACACAGGGACAGAGATGGGGATGAGACAGAGAGAGAGAGGTACCCAGCCCCAGGCCCTGCTAGGGCCTCCAGGCTCCTCCCAGACCTGGGGACCCTCAGGGCCACAAATGGCACCCTCACTGGAGTCCAGCCCCAATTCTTTCCTCCCTCCCTTCGGCCCACCTGGCACCAGAGGGTCAGGCCCTGAGCTGGTGTTGGCTCCCTGCCGTTTTGGGTCCCGTGGGGAGGCAGACACTGGACAGATCATCAAAGAAAAACAACAACGGAATCAGAGCTGCCATGCGGCTCATGCCATTTTACAAAGGGGAACTCTGGGGAGCCCTAAGTATGAATGGGCCCCAGCCAGCTGGGAGGTCCCAAGGAAACCCGTTTGAGCCACCGTGGTGGGGCAATGGCTGGGATGGCAAAGTGAGCCCCCGGGCACGGTAAACCTTGCCCGTGGCATCATGGCACATCCCCAGGCCGTCTTGGGACCCTGGCGCAACCACTGGAGTGGGATGTTTACTCGGAATGAGACACGGTTACCAAGGAGAAAGACTCCCTTGCTCTTGGTCAGCCTACAAATCACCAATTTGGAGATCACAGAGCTGGATGTATGGGATGCTCCCTGGCTTTGTTGTGGCTGTTGTTATGGTAACAGTTGCTGGGTTACTTCCCAGACCTGAAGCCCACTTTTGCTGAAGGTGCTGACCCTTAATTTGAGCCCACAGAGTGACTGCCATGGAACAAGACGCGCAGGGTTGCTTCACAATGTCTGTCCCCTTTGCTCTCAGACTTTGGGTCAGATCCTACTCAGCTCTGCATGTAGGCTGTGAATCATTTAAAAATGTTTTGCCCAGAGCCAGGAGTGGCAATGCATACACACTTGTCATCCCAGACTCGGGAGGCTGAGGCAGGAGGATCACCATGAGTTTTAGGACAACCTGGGGTACATAGTGAGTTCAAGGCCAACCTGAACTACATAGCTGGTCTCAAAAAAAAAAGCAAAGCTCTTGGCTCTGGGAAGGACGTGAGATTGGACTCAGGAGCTCAGTCCAACTCGAGCAAACCAAGAAGGCGCGATGCCCCCGCCTGGCCCAAGCCCTACTCACTGGGCAGCGGCATGAACTCCACGGCAGATGCGCTGGCGATCCTGCTGGTGTCCAGCTCCACGCGGTGGTACTCAAAGATGGTCCTGCGCCGGGACTCTGCGAGAGAGGCAGTGCCAGCCTCAGGTGCGGGTCACAGCCAGAGGCTCCGAGGCCTGACCTGGCTTGAGCTGGACACACCAGCTCAGGGCCTGACCCTCTGGTGCTCGGAGGGAGGAAGGAAGCCTGAGGGCTGGGGATGCTGCAGATTCCGGAAGACAGGGCCCAGGGACGACCTGGGAACAGCCCAGGACGCAGCGGAGTCGATTACTCTGCCCGGCCTCCTCCCACAGCCCTCACACTGAGTGCTAATGGCTCTTTGGAGGGACTCGTGAGACCCAGAAGCTCGCTGCAGCCTGTTTCTTGTTAGGTTTTGTTTTTTTGAAACAGGGTCTCATTATATAGCCCAGGCTGGCCTTGAACTCCTGGCGATCCTCCTGCCTCAGCCTCTGGGTGCTGGGACGAGAGGCGTGGGCCTCCATGCCTGGCTCTGAAGATGGAGGAGACTTTTCCAAGGTGGCAGCGAGCGTAGTGAGGTCATCCGCACACAGAGGGCCCCCGTGCTGCTGCTGCGCACCCCACCCGCCCCCTCCTGCACAGAATGTGGGCGCCACTGCGGAGCACATGTCACCATTGCCTTCACCTTGGAACTGCTCCCCACCCCACCGCTGTCCCCAGCACCCCTGCTGCAGCCTCAGCCCCTGAAGCCCCAGAGACGGAAGAGGGGACTGGGCTGGTGCTGGTGGCGGAGGTCCCGGAGCTGAACTGGCCCCTGCAGCCCGAGGCCTGAGATGTCAGCACTGCTCACCCCCACGGCCCTGGGGAGCCCATCTGTCCCCTGTCACCCACTGGCCAGGCGCTGCCCTGGGCCGAGGAGAGGGGAGGGAAGTCAGGGAGACCGGCTGAACCCAGGGGGGACCACACCGGGAGTGGGAGTAGGAGGTCACTGCCACCAGCCAGGTGCTCTCCTCGCCCTGTGGGTGATGCAGGACAAAGGTCTCGAGCTCAGCAAGCCACACCCAGAAACGCTCCACTTCAGCGGCTTCTGGAGAGCTGGGGAACTTAGAGCTCACAAACCCCTTTCCTTCCCCAGCAGCCCCGGCCTTCTCTGTGACTGGAGGGCAGTTTCAGCCTCTCTGGGGCCCCAAGTCCACCCTAGCAGAAGTTGCCAAACTGGGGCCCGAGCAGGAAGGACAGCACCCTCTCTCTCCCTCATCCCATGGTTCCCCTGCTGCCAGAACACTGCCAGGACAGAGTCAAGGGTCCTGCCTTCGTTTCACAGTGGGGAAGCTGAGGTCACACAGAGAAACCTGGGAACGGATCCAATTTCAGGCATCACTGTGTGGCTCACCAAGCCCAGCCCCAGCCCTCAGTGGGACACACTGGAGGCAGTGGTGGCGAGCCTATGGCACGCGTGCCACACAGGGCCGTCTGAAAGGTTCGCCATCACTGCCCCACGGTTACTGAATGAGCCCTTCACTGCCCTCAGCTCCTCACTCGGCACCGAGTGCGAGCACCAGCTGTTCTGGGCCCTGACAAGTCTTGACCAATCGGTGACACGCAGGACGGACTCGGCGCCGCGTCTGGATCATCTCATTTGCCTGTGCAACCCTCACAGACACACGAATACACCTGTGCACCCACCCCTCCAGACCCACACACCACACACACACACAGATACACAGGCTTCTGTTGTTGGCAGTACTGGGCTGGAACACAAGGCCTTTACAGTGAAGGCCCCATCTCTTTTTAAAATATTTCATCTCAAGACAGGGTCTCACTAAGTTGCTAGGTTGCCCAAGCTGAGCTTGAACTTGGGGTCCTCCTGCCTCAGCCTCCCGAGTGCTGGGATGACAGGCGTGCGCCACTGTGCCCCATTCATAGATTTGTTTTGTTTTGTTTTTAAACAAGAAAGACCCCTTGCTAAGGCGAGTGGGGTCTGACAGAGACTAAGGTGAGGAAGGGCTGTGTTTTTTTGTAATTCCTGTGCCCAGCAGGGCACCAAGCCCACCGTGCTGCCCACTGGTATGAGGAGGTGGCCTGGGGCTGACAGGAAGTTCTGGGGTGGCTTTCACAACGCCACCCCACCCACTGTCCCCAGGAGCCATGTGTGCTCTAGAAAGCTACCCCTTTCAGCACCAAGGCACAATGGGAAAAGGGACAAACGTGAAACCCCAGCTGTCCCCTCTCTTGGCCTCTGCTCAGCTCCACGAGCCCCAGTGTCAGCTGTGACACTGCTAGGTCAGAATCTACTTCCTGACCACTCACCCCGGCCCGAGACTTCAAGGTCCCCAAGACGGAGTCCTGGGCTCTCTGCACTGCTGGCCCTGACTCCAGGCCTTGCACTTGACAGGGCTTCAAGAAATGACAATAAGGCCAGGCGTGGGGGTGCACACCTGCCATCCCAGCACTCGGGAGGCTGAGGCAGGAGGATGACTACAAATTCAAGGCCAGCCTGGGGTGCATAGTGAGACCCTGCCTCAGAAAACCAAACAAGAAATGACAATAAATGAGTGGATGATTGCGGAGGAGGGAGTGAATGGGTTGCAGACTACCCGAGAACCTTGGCGAGCTTTTCCACCCCAGCTGCAGCCCAGAGGAAACCACCGGTCCTCCCCCGCCGCCGGCCGCAGTGGAGCCTTTCTCAAAGGGGCTGAGCCCAGGCAGAAACAGAAAGCCAGACACTTCCCAGGTTCTCAGAGTGGGGGTGTGCCAGCCAGAGGGCCGTGGAGAAGGCCAGGTGTCCCCCAAAGCAAGGTGGCAGGGCGGGGCAGGAGGTGAGGGTGGCAGTGCGTCCCTCCATGCCTGCAGCCAGCTGGTGCTTGTTTGAGTGCAGGCTTCGGTGACGGTTTTATTTTTCATAAACACAGCCTTAGTATCCCTGCCTGACACCTTCGCCTCAGGGTTCTTTCCCCACACCCGGGGCTTGCCCAGGACACTGACATCCACTGCGTGGCCAGCCCTGTGTCTGGTGCCTTCAGACCTTCTGTTTCCTCTCCACCCCAGGGCGGCCCAGGCCCAGATAACCCGTGCCTGCATCCCAGCTCCCGGGCCCAGGGTGACACCGAAGGCCCTGAGAGGATGGCTGTGGCATAAAAGTGTCAGCTGGGGGGGCTGGGGATTTAGGTCAGTGGTTCCACCGCCTGCCTGGCAACACAAGGTCTCGAGTTCGATTCCCAGTACCAAAAAAAAAAAAAAAGGGTCAGATGGGGAATGGGGGTGAAGTGTTCACTCTTTTATTCCTTTGCCCCTTTTATTCTTCATTTAACAATCGTGACTCAGCCCCCAGCAGGGATGGCTCCCCCTTCGCCTCTCCCATCCTCATGTGGCTCATCCCCCTCCCTTCTTATTTATTTATTTATTTGAGTCAGGGTCTCATTTGTAGCCCAGGCTGGCCCTGAACTCAAAGTGATCCTCCTGCCCCAGCCTCCTGAGTGCTGGGATGACAGGCGTGTGCCACCCTGCCCGGCTAGTCCTGCTCCCTCTGCAGCCAGCTCTGGGGCCTCCACCACCCACCAGCAGCCTGGCACAGGCCTCTGACACACAGCTGGCCTGGAGTCAGTCCCAAAAAGGAAAATTCTGGAAAAAGTGGAGGCCCTGCCTGTTAGAGCCATCTAAGGCCATCCAGGGCCCACCAAGGGGCAGGGCACAATGTAGAGCCCTTGATAATCAAAGCCTCATTAACTGGTTGCGCTAATTCAGACTGTCAGTGTCGATGCTGGCTGCTCTCAGGTTGCTTTTATGCTGCCCGTGAAACAGAGTGGAGGAATGAGGCTGGGTCCCAGGGCCACCTCGGATTTCTCGAGCACCTCGAAAAGCTCTCTCTCTCTTTCTCTCTCTCTCTCCTCATTTTGTTTTGGATTTTTTAAATGATGGTCTCACTATGCAGCCCAGCCTGGTGATCCTCCTGCTTCAGCCTCCCTAGTTCGAGGATGCAGCCTGTGCACCACTACACCAGGCAGTGTGGTTTTTCTCTTATCAAAGATGCTCCGCAGAAGGAAGGGATGGTGAGAAAAACACGGGCTGGGCAGGGAAGTGTTGGGAGCCAGGGAAGGACAGGGACCAGGACAGGATTCAGGGGCTCGGGGAGGGGGGGGTCCTTGAATCCGGGGAACCAAAGCCCTTCCTCAGATGCAGGAAGGAGCCAAGCTGGGCTCAAGGACAGAGATGCCACCCACTTGGGCTTGGCCATGGGAAGATCCGAGGGAGGACAGGCTCTGCAGCCCCAGGCCGCTGGAACTCCTCGTTTAACCACAGCGTTTTGGGGCTGCTGTTATTTGCAGCTCAGCCTGATCCGGACAGAGCCGGGTCGGATGCTGGGCTCAGATGGGTCTGCGCTCCCCAAAGAGGGCGCCGGGTGCCCCGCACAGCAGGACTGGGCCCGGTCTATGTGATTTTCTGTTTGCAGAGCTGTGGGTCGAGCCCAGGTTCTACTGCATACTCCTGGGCCATTTAAAAATCTGACATAGGGCTGGGGATTCAGCTCAGTGGTTTTACCACGTTCTGTTCAAGTGCAAGGACCCGAGTTTGATCCTGATACCAAACAAATACAAAATAAAATAAAATAAAACTCCGATGCAGGTGAGGGGGCTGTCCCAGAAAAAGGTGTCCCTGACTGCCCTCTCCGCTCTCACCTTTGCAGTCCGGGTGTAGAGCTCAGCCCCCCCAGAGTCTGTGCCCAGTGTCCCCAGCTGAAACCTCTGGCAGAAACGAATGTGATGCCCCCTAGCCCAGGTGGCACCAGGCCCCTGGCCTTCCATGGAGTCGTGATAGAACAGGGAGCCAGGCTGGGGGCACACAGCTGTTAGCCCGGCACTCAGAGGCTGAGGCAGGAGGATCTCCATGAGTTCGAGGCCAGCCCGGGGTATGAAATGCAGGCAAGGCCACTTGATACATAGCAAGACATTGTCTCAAAAAACCAAAACCAGCCAAACAACAGAACGCAGGACAGGGTGGGTTCGGGAGGACCCTGACCCTGGCAACTCTTGCCCTGTTATTACCCTGGAGCCCCTGGCCTGCCTCCCTCCTCACTGCTCCGTTATTTCAGGTGGGGTGAGCGTCCTCCCGTCTACTCCCAGAATCCAACAGGAGCCCCTAGCATCCGTCCTGCCCCTGGAGCCCGAGTTCCCCTTCTCCCTCTATCCAACAGCTTGATGAGACCCACATCTCCGGACACAGATGGCCCAGGTCCCCCAACAGCCTGGGGTGCATGTACCTGGGGCTGCGAGAGTTAAGGGCTGCTGAGGAGGAAAGGGTTCGTTCCTGTGGCTGGAATCGGGGCGGCTCGGATTGAGAAAACCTCGATGCCTGGCGTGGTGGTGCACACCTGTCATCCCAGCACCTTGGGAGGCTGAGGCAGGAGGATCACAGGTTCAAACACAACCTGGGCAATTCTGACACTTAGCAAGACCTTGTCTCAAAATTTAAAATTAAAAAAAAAGGGGCCGGGGATTTAGCTCAGTGGATCCACCACCTGCCTCGCAAGTGCAAGGTCCCGAGTTTCATTCCCAATAAAAATAAATAAATAAATAAATAAATAAACAAATAAATAAAAGGGCTAGGGATGGAGCTTAATGTGAAGGTCCTGGGTTCAATCCCCAGAGCAAAAAGGCTCAATGGTATTGAAATCAGGAAGGTCTGGGTCTCAGTTCTCCTCCCCTCCGTGGCTGTGTGACCACAGGCAAGTTATACCATCTCTCTGAGCACGGGCACTGGTTTAGTACAAATGTACAGGCTGCCCTGGACATGGGGGCAGAGCTAATGAGAGGCTGCACAGCTGGGTCCCTGGGGCACAGGACTGTAGTCAGTGTCCTGGGCTGACGGGAAGGTGCCTCCTGGTACCCTCACCCTCAAGCCAGACCCAGGGACTTGCTGCCAACCACGGGACCCGGCAAACATCACTCAAACTCTGCCTTGAAGAGGCTAGCTTCCCCCCTCCCACCCTCCTGCTGTCTTGCTTGCTGTGCCGGGAGCCGGGGCCCTGTGGTGAGCCATCCTGGGAGGGCTCACAGGCAAGGAGCCGAGCAGCCTCTTTGGGGACCTGCGTCCTGCTCCTGGAAGCAGAGCTCTTCCTGCCCCTCAGCCATTCCAACAATGGTGACCCTGGCTGACACTGATCACAGCCTGTGAAAGACGCCCCGATCCGCACTGTGCTTCCTGAGCCACAGAAGCTAGAGCAACACTCACTGTTTTTGGGGGGGGGTTTGGTACGGGGGATTGAACTCAGGACCTTGTGCTTGCCCAGGCAGGCATTGGAATCACTGAGCTAAATCCCCAGCCCTAACACTCACTGTTTCCAGACACTACACCTTGGAGCCGTTTGTTACACAGCTGTAGCTAACTAATACAGTGGCTGGGGGTTTTCTCTGTGACGCTGGGGACAGAAGCCAGGCCTCCATGTGCCAGGCAAGTGCTCTGCCACTGGGCCCCACTCCAGCCCTCTCCAATTGTTTTCTCATGTGGGTTTTGGCTTTGGCAGAACCCCAAAGTCCCTGTGGACACCAGACACAGCCATATGTACAGAAGGGTTGACTCCAGGGAGGGGATCTGGAGGACAGAGATCAGGGACAGGGAACGACTATAATATTTTCTTTTTGGCAGTACTGCGGTCGAACCCAGTACCTTCTCACTGAGCTGTGTCCCCAGCCCTTCCTTTTTTTTAATTTTGAGACAGGGTCTTAATAAGTCACTAAGTCACCCAGGCAGGGCTCAAACCTATGATTCTCCTGCCTCAGCCTCCCAGAGTGCTGAGATTATAGGTGTCCTCCACTACACCCAGCAAGAACTCTAGTCTCTTTTCTACATCATTTTGTATCTTTTCAATTTTAGAGCAGCTACATTTATTCATAAAAAATGTATAATTTTCCTTGTAGTCTCAGCATTTTGGGAGGCTGAACTCGGAGTTCAAAGCCAACCTGAGCAATCTAGTAAGAGTGTATCTCTTAAAAAAGATTTATATATACACATGTGTGTGGTTTTATAAGTGAAGATAAAGAAGAGCATAAGTAAATAGTAGTGATCCTGGAAACAGCCTCAGTCACAAAGGAGGAAGTGGAAAGGAGGGAGCTTTGGGGAATGCTGCCGAAACAGCACCTGACTTTTTGCCACCCTCGAGGGCCGGGGCGGGGCCCTGCCCTGAAACCCCACTCCCGCCCACTCGCCACAGTCCCAGCATTGCAGGGTGACCAAGCGCCGAGTCAGAGGCTGCCATGGGGCCAGGCTGACACACGCTGCTTTCGTCACAGTCACTGAGGGAGACAGCACCACCCTGACTGCACACAGCCAGCGAGAAACCAGGCGACTGAGTGACTTGCCAGGGCCAGTGTTGGTGGAGAGTTCACACCCAACCCCAGCATCCAGTGCTAGAGCCAGAGGCATGGTCTCACTGCATTCCCCAGGCTGGCCTTGAACTCACAGTGATCCTCCTGCCTCAGCCTCCCGAGTGCTGGGGTTACAGGTGTGCGCCACCACGCCCGGCCTCCTGCAGATTCTGTCCAGGGTAAAGGCTCTCTCAGAGGAGGACACCTCGAGGGCAGGACTGTCGCTCGTCTTGTATACCAACTGCTCTGAATGGCCTCAAAATGTGTGCGTTGATTGGACATTCGACCAACACAGGCAAGCCAGGCACTTCCCCAGGGAGCCCCGCAGAGTGCTGTCCCTGTGCAGGACGAGAGTCAGGGCCCCCAAGCTCGGCTCCCCAGCCAGTGTGGAGTTCGGAACACCCCCAGCCCTTTGGCACAGGCGGCAGGGAGGAGACAGACAAGCTTGCAGGTTGTACAGTGGGACTTTAGCACACACAGCTCAGCAGAGGCCAGCTTCGAAAGTCTCCGAGTCAGGAGCCTGGAAGCAACGGATGGCACACCTGCAGCCTCCGAGGAGTGTGAGTCAATTCCCTACTGGAGTCGGGAGTGGTGGCAAATGCCTGCCATCCTAGCACTCTGGGAGGCTGAGGCAGGAAGATCAAAAGTTCAGGCCCAGCCTGGGCAACTTAGTGACTTAACCAGACCCCGTTTCAAAATGAAAAGACTTCCGGGCACAGACTGGAGGTTTGAAGTAGGACAAAAAGAGCTGAGTGCCCTAAAATGTCGGCGCTGGAAGGGGACCTGGGAGGAGGCAGCTCCCCTTCTGTTCCTCGCCCATTTTACAGAGGAGGCAGCTAAAGCTGAGAGAGGATGTGGTTCACGGAAGGACAGAGTTCGAGGCGGGACTCACCTGGAACATCTGGGGCCGGATTGAGGACCATGAAGGCATCGGACAGGCCTGCTTTCACGGGGTGCTGGGCGGAGCTGATCTCCCGGACGGACATGGGGATCTGCAGCGGGAGAAGGGGCCCCGTGTGACCAGGACTCCCCAGAGCTCAGGACTGGAGAGAGACGCCTGGAGCCGCCACTCGCACCCCAGTTCCGCGTCGCCCCCACACTGCCAGCCAGGCTGAGGAGCAGCCCTAAGACCAGCTGGCCCTGCTGCGGCCGCTCACCTCTTTGTAGCAGAAAACAATGCGGCCGCTGCGGTGCAGGGCCACCTGGAACGTGAAACTGCCTCTGTCCTCGCGGCCCTGGAGGTAGGTGTGGTCCCACTGCACGACGAAGACTGTCCCTGCGGAGAGGAGCAGAGCCAGGCTGGGCGGGGAGGGGCAGGAAGTAGGTCCCGTCTTAGTCACTGCCCCTCCCTGACGCGGGGCTCGGCACCCACAACTCACAGGACCACAGGTTTACTTTGGCTCACGTTTTAAAGGTTTCGTGTGGAGGGGCGGGCAGAGGGAGGACAGCTGCTCAACTAGTGGCGACCAGGAAGCAGCAAGCGAGGGGCGGAGCCTTTCCAGGCCACGCCCAGGGACTGCCCCTTCCCACAGGCCCCACCCACCTCCTGAGGGCGTGTTTATAAGGGCCCATGACTCCATTACCTTTTTTTGTTTGTTTGTTTGTTTGTTTGTGACAGGGTCTAAGTAGTCCAGGCTGGCCTTGAACTCGCTATGAAGCCTAGGGTGGACTTGAACGCACAGTGATCCTCCAGCCTCAGCCTCACAAGTGCTGGGATCGCAGGCACACATCACCATGCCTGGCTCCCATCACCTTTCAAAAGCCCTGCCAGTGAGTGCGTGAGGCTGTGGGTAAGGGCAGTGGGCGGGGCCTGCATGGGAGGGGGCTCTAAGGGAGGCTGACTTCCAGTCATGGGACTAGCAGACCTCTCCTCTATCCCGGGACAGCTCGGTGAGGAGAAAAAATAAAGGTCCTTGGCCTTTACTTCACCATCCCCAAGAGCCAGGCCCTTCCGGTCATCCCGTTAAGCTCTGCTGGGCAGCAGGCCTTGTCCCCAGAGATATGGGGTAGCTGCCGCTGTGTGACTGTGGGCCGAGCCCTGGCCCTCTCTGGCTTTGGGGTCCTCGGAGGGGCCAGGCCAGGACTCCCAGAGCTGGGGCCTGGCGCTCTGAGCTCTGCCTCACCATTGTCAAAGTAAGCCACCGTGGAGTTGTCGGAGTAGCCGGGGTTGAAGTTGGCCATCAGGGGGGCCACGTACTGAGTGGCTGTGAGCATCCGGTGGATCACATCACCCATGAAGAGAAAGCCTGCAGTGGACAGGCAGAGGGTCCTGAGTCACTGGGACGGCCTCAGAGGCAGGACATGAACCACAGGGCCGGGAAGAGTGGGAAGCCCTGGGAATTGGTCTTGAAGGAGCCTTCCCAGCCTCCCTTGGAGCCCCCTCCCATGCAGGCCCCGCCCACTGGCCTTACCTCCCGTTGCTATGGTGATCTGTCGCAGAGGATGCCCGTAGAAAGGGAAATCAAAGGACAAGACCACTCTCTGCAGGGACAGGGGAAGTCAATATAGACAGTGGGGACTCCACACGCAGGGCAGGTCTGGACTGCAGGGGACCCCTGGATCTCAGGTCTGAGGCCACAGCCTCACCCTTGCCGGCTGGCCGGGCACTCACCGAAGCCTGCCGGTGGGTGCTGGACAGGATCCTGTGCACCTGCACCTGGGTCTGGTTGGCTTTGGCCATGTCTACCCACAGTTCCTGGCTGCGGGGGTCACTGGGGCCGTAGATGCGGGACACGTAGTAGCTGTGGTTGTCCTCCTGCCGGTGACCAGACAGGGATGGGGGTCAGGCTGGCCGGGACCTGCCTCTGCCCTGCCCACCAAACTGCTGGGTGCTAGAAGTCACTACCGAGGGGCCAGCTTGGCCTGGGAGCCCCGGTCTCCTTGCCCCTAAGAGCTCGCTCCTGGTCCTCAGCGGGTGTGGCCCCCAATCTGCCCTGCTGTTCCCAGGCGTCAGACCAGCAGGGCGCTCAGGCTGAAGCCCCAAGGGGGTCTGGGCGGGACACGGGGTCCCTGCCCCGAGAGTGCCTCAGTTAAGGCAAAGGATAAACTGGGCCCTGGACAGCATTGGGCCTTGACCCTGGGGAGCTGCCAGTCTGACGGTGGTGATGGGCTGTCCATAAACAGAGCTGCAAACAGAGCTGCAGGGGGCCCCGCTGTCCCCACCTTGTCCCTGTTTCTTCAAAGCTCAGCTTAGACATCGCCTTCTTTTTTTTGTTTTTTGGGTTTTTTTGGTACCGGGGATCAAACTTGGGACCTTGTGCTTTCAAGGCAAGGGGCGGAACCACTAAGCTAAATCCCTGGCTGGAGATCACCTTCTTAGTGACATTCTGTCTCCTCTCACCCATCCAGGGAGGACAGGACGCCCACCTTCCCAGCAGCCTCCTCATCCCGTGTGTCCGGGAGTCCCTTCCCGGTGACAACTGGCTGACTCCTTGGATGGACGGCTTTATCATGAGCCACAGACAGGAGCCACCCTGAGGCCACTGCCCTGAGAGTGAGGGCCAGGGTGGGGCCAGGGGTGCTGCCTCTCATCCCTGCCACAATGGCTCTTCTCTTCAAACAAAAACACCATTTACAGCCAGGCATAGTGGAGCAGGCCCGTGATAACAGCACTATTAGGGAGGCTGAGGCCGGAGGATTGCACTGAGTTCTGAACTACACAGCAAGATCCTGTCTCAAGAAAAAGAAAGTTTATTAAAGGGCTGACATTAGCCTCAAACTGTCCAGAAGGGAAGCCAAGTCTCAAGGCTCTCCAGCCAACCCTTAAAGGCCTGGGTCTCCTGGAGCACGGGTGGACAGCAGTGGCCTCCTCTGCCCGTGGCTCAAGGCCCTCGCATCCTTGGTCCTCTGGAAGTGGTGCAGGGTGAGCGGAGGCCCATCCGCAGCCTGAGCCTTCTCCTTTGCCGTCGTATGGCAGGAGAGGGATGCTGGACACAGGGGACGGAGCAGTGCACACTGGGGGAGAAAGCTGCTCCCAGACTAAGGACAAGGATGGCCGGAATCAGTTCCTGCTGCTGTTTGTTACGCAGCCCTCAGAATCGGGCACAGGGCCTGCGGGCGTGGGCTCCTGTGGCTCAGCTGGCCAGCCTGGAGTTGGTCTCCCCCATCCCGGTCACGCTCCCTGCTTAGGACATTCTGTGGCTTCCCCGTTCTACTCAAGACATCCTTCCCACAACCCACGAGGGCCTGTGGGGCCACCTCTGGGCACTACCTATTTGACATCCATTCCTTTCTCCTCTTTACTAACAGAACATTGATTCTGCAGCAAGCAGCAGCCCAGGACAACAATTCATTTCCTGAATGTCTTAAGGGTGACTATGGGACACAGGCCAGCCAAAGGTTGCAGTGGAGACTTTGAAGTCAAATTTAACTGCTTGTCCCTTTTATCTTTCCTTTTCCTTCCTCCTCTGGTCTAGAATGCAGACAGGATAGCTGGCGCTCCAACAGCCATTTTGTCAGTATGAGGACAAGAGCCACCCCTAAAGGATGGTGGAGTAGAAAGCTGGATGGAGCCTGGGTGTTTGACAACATGCTCCTGAAGTCCCTGGCTTCAGCGGTCACACAGAAACAAAACCTTCCTGATGGTCTGCCCACCACCAGCACCTGCTCCTCTCCCTGTAATCTGTCCCCCAGGCTTCTGTCTTCAGGAGCTGCTTCCTCCCTATCAGAGCCTGAGTCTGAATGGCTGCCGTGCTGAATCCCAATCCAGACTGCTTGTCCTTCTGTCCATCGCTGCCACCACAAGCTCTCTCACAGAAGGTCTTGCTACCCAAGAGCAGGCCGGCAGCAGGGCCGCGGACCTCAGCTTGCAGCCGGGAACCTTGCAGGCTGGGGCAGGTCCGGATGCTGTCAACTGCCTCCAGGCTCCCATGGCCACCGTGTCCCCAACCTCCAGGCAACAGGACAGAAGCCACGCTGTGCAGCTGTGAAGCCCAAACAGACGCTGAGGACACGGACGGGTGAGGATGCCACTGTGCATCTCCCTGGCTGGTCGCCCTGCATCCTCTCTGTCACGTGAGGACAAATGGCCTGGTCCCGCTGCTCCACGGAGGCGCCAGCCCCATGCCATGTTCTTGGCATTGTTCCACCTTGCAGGCTGTCACGTCGGTTCCTGTGGCACAGGTGTGTCCTTGTCCTCTGGCCTCTCCTGATGCCACCAAGATCTGATCCTGGGCGTCCACCCTGCTGACCCTGTGTATCCTGAAGCTCCCTCCCAAGACTCAGCAGGGCCTAGGAACCAAAGATGCCAAGGACAGCACCTGGGGATGCAGAGGGGGCAACCAGAGAGGGCTCAGTGCTGGACACAGCCAAGGACGGAGTCAGTGAGGAGGCTGGGACAGTGGGCAGGAGGAGGGGCTGCCTTCACAGAGCCTTGGCCTCCAGCTGGCCACTTCATGGGCATCACCACCAGCAACCCTCACAGGTGAGGACGATTATCAACCCACTTTCCAAGTGGGGAAACTAAGGCCCACAGTCACTTCACTGTCTTGGTGAGGGTTAAGCATGACCATGTCAGCTTGATTGGAGTGGATCAAGGAAGTCAGGGGGACCCACACTTCCGGGTGTGTCCTGGCGGTCATGGCAGGGTCACCTTGGGGTCTGTGTCTGATCTCTGGCTCTCTCCTCTCCAGCAGCCATGAGCTGAGCGCTTTGCTCCTTCCGGCCTTCTGCCATGCTGTTCTTGAGTTGGAGCCAGACCATGGACTGAATCCCTGAAACCGTGAACCAAATTTAACATCTTCCCCTCTAAGCTGTGGGTGTTGGGCACTGTGTCCCAGCAACAGGAAAGTGGCTGATCCCGCACACCTCAAAGACAGCAACCCTGCCCATGGCAAGGTCTCCCAGTAACCAGCCTCCTTTTGGTAGCAGAAAGCTGTGCAGCCAGGGGACGACCCCAGCACTCCTAACAGCAGGGTGTGGCTGCACGACTGTCTGACCAGTGGAAAATGAGCAGGACGATGGCCCTTAATACGGACGAGGTGCCCTCCCCTGGCCCAGAGGGACGCAGTTGTGATGGTAGGAGCTGAAGCACCCATCTTAGACCACAAAACAGAAGGCACATGATACAAAGGGCAAAGCAACAAGATGGGGGGACCCGGTCCCCAACATCACGGAGACACTGTATCAAACCTCACTTACTTACCTTCATGCTCTCTCCTGTGGGAGGAGAAGAGGTGCGCTGGTGTCTAAGAGCCTTGTTGCTCAGGCACACATTGCAGCGGCTGAGCCTGTATGCTAGTGAATACAGAGCCAGGCCCAGGCCTGCTTCTCCACAGTGCATGTTGGGTGATTTAAATGTGACACAGAGGCCGCACCTGGCAGCGGACCTGCCAAGGAATCCCCACCACCCACCACCCATGACCACGAGTGCTCCAGGCGCCATGCGCTGGCAGACCAGGTGAGCAGGAGCCCACCCTCTTGGCAGGTGTACGCGAGGCTGCTGTGTCTCTTTGACAGGTGTGCAAGAACCCTGGCCATCACCCACACGCATTTGGGGAGGCCGACGGACACACATTTCCCGTGAAATCCTTTCTGCCAGCTAATCCTCCGCGCCATGTAGGACTCAGCTCACATGGAAGCGGGGCCACTCAGGAGGGAGGGAAGGGAGGCCTCAGAGCAGGCTCCGTGCTGCTTCTCCCCCACCATGCTCAGCCGGCTGAGCAGCTCAGGGAGCCCCTAGGGTTCCATGGAGCACAATTTGAAAACCACCGCTCCTCAATCAAGTGGTTGGGCAGTGGCATCAGCCAGACCCAGGTTCAAAGCTGCCACTCATTCGCTGTGTAACCTTGGGTGGGTGCCTTCACCTCTCTGTTCCAAGCGGAGAAGGCACAGTGTCAGAAGCACCTGCCTTGGCCAAAACTCACACTGAAACTTGGTGCCTGGTGCAGCAGTGCCCAGAGGTGGCCTGGACTTGGCTGGTCTGTTAGGCAGGGTTAATGCAGTTCTTGCAGGACTGGAGCAGCTACCACAGGAGCGGACTGGTACAAAGCCAGGCTTCCCTGGTGTTCTCTCTCCTGCGCACGCCTGCCAGGCTTGCTTTTCTCCCGTGTGGTGAGACAGGGTGAAGCTCTCACGGATGTGGCTGCCTGGTCTTGGACGTCCAGCTCCACAACTGGGT